CTTTTGCGTTACCTCACAATACCTTTGCGTTCCCTCACACTACTTTTGCGTTACCTCGCAATATTGTTTTGCGTTCCCAAACAAAAGTTTGATTTGTAAATGAACTGAATTCAATCAGACTTTTATTTTGAAATACCCGGTTACCAAAACAGGATGTGTCGCCACAAGTTTGTGAAATTGACATTGATGTAGCGTGGCTGCGCTGTGTTCAAATATTGGCATGAGACAAACTTCCATGCGTAAAATATTCATTAAATAAGTTAGCAATTTTTTCATGATCAGAAACAAGAAGTCCATTTACTGAGATTTGTGAATTGTTATTAAATGTTTTATTGTTACTTTCACCTGTCACTGACTTAATCGTTTCCCATAATATTTTTGGATTCCTACTGGCTGAAATAATTTTATTTTTAAAATATTGTTATTTGGCTTTGCGTAATTCAGCAACACATTTATTTTGGATTATTAATGAATTATTACTGGATCATCACATGCCACCTGACCACTGCCTTGTCAAAACCCAATTGGTTCTTTTGTAAAACAAGAAGTGCAGTTCTTTGTGAACTGATAACTTCTGATGTCTTATGTCTTACAGTCATAACAACTCTTCATGTCATTGTGCCAAACATAGGTTTCAAACGATTTAGCTTTGGCAAAAACATTAATTACAAGAAAAAGGCAGCAAGATCTCAGCCTAAATCTGGAAAAAAAATAAATTTAACAATACGATAGTCTGTATTTTGGTAAATCGTATTGCCCTTTAGGGGTGTAACGTTACATCTTTACATTGATTAAATGATTAACGATTCAATTATATCAAGGCAAGACAAAAACATCAATCCAGATCGTCATCCTACGCCTGATGTCTGTCAATATTTATGCTTATCTAATACAGCTGTGTTGGATGGACTTATGATATTGCATCATATCAATCACTGACCTGTGAAATGAGTTGAAATTGTATCATACATTTATTGAGTTATTGAAAAAACATTGTATCAACATTCGAACAAATCAATATAAAATCTGATTTGATAAAGCTTCTGATTCAGTTTCAGTTTATTCTTTTCATTTCATTTCATTTCATTTAAACAAAAAACAAAACACATTCAAAACATAAAACAAAATGATTTACACCCCATTAACTGGTCATTAGCATAATACTGTTTTATTACCATTTCTTGCTGCTTTTAAAGATGGTTTGAAAATTTTAGCTGGTTGTGGAAGCTGCTTTGAAGCTCTGTCAGATGATTCTTTATTTTGTAATTCTTTATGTTATTTTAGTTGTTTTGAATAAGTTTGCTGTCAGT